GCTTGCATGCACAAGGCCCATCCCCAGACCTGTGGGAAAAATGAAATGGCTCCTTGCCTTACATATCAAAAGCACATCAAGAAATTTACTCATGGGAGACAATAATCTAAATATCCAAAGCGATAGCCACCGAAGCTGTGCCCAACAAAATGTTCAAATGTCACAGACAGGCTACTGCTGTGACCATTAAATACAGGAGACGTCTCGGGAAATACCTAACAAAGGAAATCGGTGCCAGCACCACTGAACTCCTTCATCAATACTTCCGGCCCAGTTCTCGGCTCTCTTCCTCTCACGAAGCCATACAGGCTTTCCTGCTGACGAGGAAACCTCTGCCGTAGGTGCATTGGCAACGGCCTCCAGAGGCCCCTGTGGCGGGCTCTGGCCCCTTGGGCTGCTACGGGAGATTGTGGGACCACCCTTGGGAAACTGGGGATTAGGGGCAGGTCTTAGGGCACTGGAGGCGTGGCCTCCAAAGGAACTGTGGGACTTTAGTCTCCTCTTCTTCCTCTCTTTCAATTCTGGGTCATCAGTTAACCGCACCCTTCTGCCGTGATGTCCTGGACGGCCCAAGGCCCGATGCAGTCAGTTCCTAGACTGAGAGATGACAAACTGGGAGCCAGACTAACGCCTTCCTCTTTTAAGCTGGTTATCGTAGATGGTTTGTTACAGTTAAAGGAAGCTAACCAACACACTCCTGTCAGCAATTAAAAGGAATGCTCGCCCAAGATAGATAAGCTTAAACACATTACATTGAGCGGAAGAGGCCATGCAGACACAAAAGACCGCATATTGCATGATGACATTTATATAAAATATCCAGAATGGCCACATAGACAAAAGGTAGATTCATGGGCTGGAGAGATGGCTCAGAGGTTAGGAGCACTGACTGCTCTTCCAGGGGTCCTGAGTTCAATTCCCAGCACCCACATGGTGGCTCACAACCATCTGTAATGAGATCTGGCACCCTCTTCTGTATATATAATAAATAAATAAATCTTTTTTTTAAAAAAAAAAAGGTAGATTCATGATAGGGTGATGGGGAGTACTGACTGCTAACTAGTATACTACCAATGAGTTTGTTTGTTTGTTTTCCTCATGGAGTCTTGAACAGTACACAATTAGATAATGGTCATGTTTGCATAACTCTATGAACATTCTAAAGGCCTTCAATTGTACACTTTAACATGAGCTGTGTGGTATATGGATTATATCTCAATAGATCAGTAAAAAGCAAAGCTCTCCCATGTGCTGAAACCCTTCCAACCTCTCTGCCCCCAAGTACACTCCTTCTCACAGTTAAATGCACCTCTGTGTCTGTTCTGTCTTCCCATCTCTGTGCAGCAAGACAGCTCTAATTCATTACTGCACTTGCTAGAAAGACTCTGAGCACCCTGGCAGCGGAGTACAAACTCTTATCCTTTGATTCAGGGGTTATCTTTTTAATACTAAAAGACAGTATAAAAACTTAGGAGAAATTTTATACTAAAACAATGATTGGGGGGAAGACTGCAAGCGAGTTAAACTCTTTAAACTATTTTATTTTTATTCACAAATAGTATCTGTACCTACGGTTCGGTATGATGCTTTGCTTGTGTGTACATGTGGGTGGTGACCAAGCCAGGATAATTAGCACATCCGTCCCCACGGTTTCATCACTTTATGTTGAGGACGCCCCACATTTTCTCTTCTGACTAATTAAGGACATGAGGTATTGCTGTCAACCCTGCTGTTGCACCATGGAACACCAGAACTTACTCCTATAAATGATGACCTTGTACCCACTGTATCCATGTCCCCTTTCCTCCCCAGTCTCCACTCCTCACGTGTGTGCCACCAACTACTTCAGACCCCAAGGCCAGCAGGATTACAGTGTTCGTCATTCTCTGACTGGCTCAGCAAATGCCAGGGCTTTACAGATGAATGTTATACCACGACCTTTGAATTCACAGCCTCTTTACCCCTTCCTCCACAAGTGGACATTAACGTTGATTTTGCGTCCATGTTGTGGCTCTTGTGAATGCTGCTGTAATAAACTTGGGAGGGTGGATAGGGTGGATGTCCTCCAACATGCCAACTTAATTTTTGTTGGGTCTACTCTAAGGATCATGTGGTGGTTGTATTTTTACATTGGATTCTATGTTATTTTTATGTATGTTCCATACAGTTTCTTATACTAGCTGTACTTGTTTACATTCCACCAAGCACACATGAGAGCTCCTTTACTCTGTGTCCCTCTCAACAGATTTTTATTTATCTTTTTGCTATTTGGTAATAGCTCTTCTAATTGGGGTAAGGCGGTATCTCACCGTAGTTTAAGCATCTTTCTTTTCTCCCCTTTCCAGAGACAATGTCTCAGTAAGGAGTGTAAACTGGCCTGGAACTCACTGTGCTGCCCAGTTTGGCCCAGAATTCATCCTCATCCTGCCCTATCTCCCAAGAGCTGGGACGGTAGGTGTGTGCCACCACGCCCAGCCGGATGAATAGCAAAAAGGAATCATACACCATAATAGGACCAGGCAAAGGGTAGAAAAGTATTATTTTCAAAGACTGAAATCAAGAGACGATGATCTATGAAAAAAGCAGAGAACAATCACCACTTGACCTCCCTCCCTCCCAACCCCCATAGTGCTCTCTGATCTGTAAATTCTACAACATGGATACAGCATAGTCTTTGCTTTCTCTGAACACCATGCCCTTCCCTAAGATCCACTGTGCTGGGGTAACATGACAACCTCCCTTCACCTCAGAAACAGGGACTGATGAGAGGAGGAGAGGGCGGCCAATCTCAGGCCCTTCCCAAGAAATTTGATTCTGAAATCACATTCCAGATGAAGTGTGCTAGTCTGCAGTCTGCTGTTAGCCTAGGAATGCTGCAGGGTCCAGGCCACTGGGCCAGCCATGACTGCTACCTGACAGGCACCAACCCCTCGGAAACGCCAGTGTTCTTAGCTCTGTGGAATGCAGGGGCTGAACCAGCACATGCGGGTTGTAAACAACAAGGCTAATCCATGTTCCAGAATGCTGGCAGTGTCCACCCCTGCCAGCAGCTTCCTCCAGCACTGCTTTGTTTAACAGCCACCAGTCATGCCAAACAAGCCAAGGGTGGACTCTGCGACACAACCAAAGGTCTACGCAGTCCAAACTTTCACGTCACTTGTTTAGAGTGTTTTTTCTTTTTTGACAGGGTTTCTCGGTGTAGCCCTGACTGTGCTGGAACCTCCTTTGTAGACCAGGCTGGCCTCAAATTCATTTGCCTCTGTGTCCTGAATGCTAGGATTAAAGGTGTTTATCACCTTGCCTGGCTGTAGAGTGTGGTTTATGGGTAGAGCAGCTGACCTGGATCATCAAATGCTGTGTTCTGTCCCCTTCCACTGTGGTATGCTGGGAGGTGGGGCCTTTAAGAAGTGCTGAGAACTCTGATCTCCAGAGTGGATGACTCCATTAATGGGTTAATGGATGACTGTAGGAGGAGCTTTGCTAATCAAGTGAGGCCTCACTGACCAGGTGGTTTGTCTCACCACATGATGAAGGAAGACTCCCCCTTCCCCCTTCACACACACACACACACACACACACACACACACACACACACACACATACACACACACACCAGGAGCTGGAACCATGCCCTGGGATTTCCCAGCCTCCAGGACTGTGAGCCAAACAGACTTCTGTTCTTTGTACATTATTCAGTCTCGAGGACTTTGTTATAGCAACAGGAAATAGACAAATGATGACACTTAACATTGTACTTTCTGCTGCTGAGGACACAAAATTCATGTTTTCTGGAATCTACTGTATACTTTTACATGGATTCCTTACTCTCCTTCCTTTGTGACGTCCAGGTGATCACTGAGTGCGAGCGAGGTAGCAGTCTCTGCACAGCGTCTAACATTCACCCCCTCCATAACGCACGGCTGTGGTCTCCTTTCAGCACCCCCGATCCCAGCACACGGTGCACCCCTGATGGTGCACTGCACTGGGAAACCCTCTCAAGTTGGAACTTGGCCTCCCCTGAGCCAGCTCCCTTCTGATGGCCCCCAAATCTGTCAGAGTGGAGAGGCGTCCTTGTGCTCTGCCACACCCACAGTGGTAAAGTAGCAATGCTGGTCTGGGTTCTTAGACGCTGGCTCTACTTCTATGCTTCCCTGATTACTCACGATGTTCACATTTACACATCTGTATGTTCTCCTCTTCAGAAGGTGGGTGGTGACAGCATCTGCCTACTGGTCAGTGTCCACCCACGGTTGCTCGGGTTCCTTCTCAGACACTGCCTTTTTAAAATAAAAAATAAAAGAGATGTCTGCTTGCTGCTGTGACTACAATGATGGCAAGCTCCAAGGCACAGGACCCACCGAGAGTCATTCTCAAGCATCCAGAGGCACTCTCCTGAACGGCACCTACAAGGACCTCTCTCCCTGTCAATCAGCTCTCCATGGAGGTGGCTTTGAAGCTGGACAGAATGGTTTGCTTGTGGGTACAGCGGTGTCTGTCCATGCTCCCTGACCCTGCTGATTTTACACGTGGGTCAGGAGACTCACTTCACAGCAGCTGAGAAACAGAAAGAGACAGGAAATGCCTGGAGGTCACAGTCCCCTTCAAGGACCTAGTCCTGTGATGATACATTGTGTACCCTAATAAACTTACCTGGCGATCAGAGGACAGAGCCCGCCACTAGATTAGACATGGAAGTCAGGCAGTGGAGACTCACACCCTTAATCCTATCACTCGGGGAGGCAGAGATCCATCTGTATCTCTGTGAGTTCAAGGCCACACTAGAAACAGAGCCAAGCAGTGGTGGCACATACCTTTAATCCCAGTACTGGGAAGCACACATGCCTTTAATCCCAGGAAGTAATGTCAGGGCAGAGAGAGGTATATAAGCCATGAAGAAACAGGAACACTCACTCTTGAGGCTGAGGATTTTGTAGAGGTAAGAACGTGGCTGGCTTGTTCTGTTTCTATGATCTTTCAGTTTTCACCCCAATGTCTGGCTCTTTTTTTTTTCTTTTTTCTTTTTTTTTTATTAATAAGACCATTTAGCAATTCATGTTATGAAGTCCCACTGGCTCTGCCTCTTGAAGGCTGCCACCATCCAGCAGCAACTTGCTAAGGATCAAGTCTCCAACACATGGGTTTTGAGGGACCTTTCATATGAGGTTACAGCACCCTCTGGCTGGCAGCCCTCTAGGATCCATGTCAACCCAGCAGGCTCTGATGTGTTCCCCTTTACTCTTCTGATAGGGCAGATTTTTTTTTTTTTTTACAGTTTTATTGAGGTGTATTTCACAGACCATAAAGAACTCACCCACTGAAAGGGTAAAGTTCAGTGGTTTTTATTATGGGCAGGCAGACCTTGACCATTACAGAGAAGAGGGCAAAATACCAAGCTAACGCCTTTCTCCTGTGGCCTGCTCCTCTCTTCTCTGGTGCCCTTACCGATCGCTCCACTGTTTAGTTTTTGCTGGGTGGGTGCTGCGTTGGGCAGGGCCTTGAACAGCACCACCTAGTGACCAGGAAGTCTGGGAAAGAGGAAGGAGAGGTGAGCCAGGGGGTAGCTGGGTAAATGGTCTAGTTCAGTGCAGCCTAACCCCATACTCCCCAGAGCATAATAAGCATTTATTTATTTATCATTATTAATTAATTAATTAACTAACTAATTAATTTATATTGTATGTGTATGGGTGTTTTGCCTGCATGGGTATCTGTGCACCTTGTGCATTTATTTATTTATTTATTTATTTATTTATTTATTTATTTATTTATTTATTTATTCATTCATTCATTTATTTATATTGTATGTGTATAGCTGTTTTGCCTGCATGGGTATCTGTGCACCTTGTGCATGTAGTGACCTTGGGAGCTGGAAGACAGTACTGGACCCCCTAGAACTGCACTTACAGATGGTTGTAAGCTGCCACGTGGGTGCTGGGAATTGAACCTGGGTCTTTCCTCTGGAAGAACAGCCAGTGTTCTTAATGGCTGAGCCATCTCTCCAGCCTCGAGACTATTTATCTTATTGAAAAACTAAAGAAGTCTGAACGAAAACAAGGTCAAATAAATGCAAGTATTTTTGTGTATTTTTAAGATATAGGCAGAAAGGTCAGAGTTCACCAGCAGAAGCTGAGGGCATTTTGTTTTCCTTTTTGTTTTTAAAGTTGTCTGTGTGATCTTTGCCCTAGTCCCACACATAGTGAAAGTCCCACAAATAACCACATGGAACTAACTGAACAAATAATGGTTTGGGGACAAAGAATAAGTCCATATGTGTGATGGATAATGACTTAACAGCTAGCATTTTTGCCTTAATTTCTAGTTTTAGTCAGTTCCTGACAGCTTAAGGAGTTAGCTTAGCCACGATGTCTAACTATGGCTTCAAACTTGAATGTGAACAGTGAATGGGTAAGCATGGTTGGAATGGATGCTTGAACATGCATCTTGTCTGATAATCACCCTAATAGGAATTACAGAAATTTGAAAACATTCTAAATAGTACAATCATTTCTGTAAAGGAAGGACATCTAAAATTATTAAGAACCCCAAGAAATAGCCGAGCAGTGGTGGCACACGCCTTTAATCCTAGTACTCAGGAGGCAGAGTCAGGTGGATCTCTGTGAGTTCAAGACCTGCCTGGTCTACAGAGTGAGATCCAGGACACCATCAAAACTACACAGAGAAACCCTGTCTCAAAAAAAACAAAAACAAAACAAAAAACAAAAAAACAAAAACAAAACAAAACCAGGACCAGGGTAAATACGAAGCCTGGAAGAGTACAACAGAAACACAGGCAAACGCACCACAAAGAGCACCAGAAGCAAGTACAGAGAAACGGCCCGTCCAATTGACTGAACCAAAGTTTAAATTGTACAAAAAGTAAGCCCCATAAACTCCACAAAGGACGCAGTCACAGAGAGGTCAAGAGGAAAATGTCTGTCTACTTAGGGAACACAGACTTGGGGGTCGGTGGGTGAGGTAATTCAGACCAATCCTCCCCGTGAAAGCAGAAATATAAAGGGCGCGTTCTTGAAGGCATCAAAGATCTGGCAGAGGGCCAAGAGTGCCATCGAGGTTCTGGGAATGGGGGTGTCTGAGAGGCTGAGTCAACCACAGCCACCTTCTCACTGGGAGCAGCTCTCTAATCCAGGGAATGTGCCTGAGCCAACAGTGGGATTCCATCCAACTCCCAGTCCAGACACTGAGTCCAGGCCCCTCCAGAGCCGGGAAGCTGAGTGCATTCTCCTGCCTCTAGATTGGGAGCCCAAAGCCCAAAGCAGGTGCCCACGAGGATTCGTGGGCTTTGGGTCCACCCTTGACTGTGGACGCATGTGGTCCTATGCTGCTGCTGCTGCTGCTGCTGCCGCTGCCACCAAGCACCTGGAGCAAGAACAGACCCACTGAAAGATGACGTCATCCTAGGCAACTGATCTGGGATGCTTTCAGTTTTCTGATGTTCAACCAGAACTACAAAGAGACAGGATTAATGAAGCTGACAGAAGCCCAAAGTGATGGAGGCAGCTTTATCATGGCACAGGTAACTGTGGAGGCCCACCAAAGTTTCCTAGTGAGATCTGAGCTTGCTTTATCCAGCAGAGCTGCATTAGAGGATTGCTTGACCAGGTGACTGGAAGGGTCTGCACTTGGCTGTGCTGGGGGGAAGTCTTTTCCTCCACCCATTGGCATTCCTATAAATAGCCCCTTAGAAGAGACAGAAGGGGCCTGTGGATAAGGATCCGGGCCCTCCCGAGGCTATCCTGTGTTTCTATCTGTTTCTCTCCCCTCTATCCTTCTATCTCAATCTCTTAACTCTCACTCCTCAAGAGTACTGGGGGGTGGTGGGGGTGGAAAGTGGGAGCTGATCTCCCACAGGTAACTGACATTTGAGAGGAAAAACGAAAAATAACTATGCACATTGTATGCAGCAAGATAATAGGTAAGACTGACTGCTGGGCTGGAGCACTGGAATCCCTAAGGAAAAAGCCATCATGAAGAAGTGTAGTTTCAGTCACAATTAGGTAAAAGCACCCTAACACTATGACAAGCCACTCAGCCATGATGGCTAAGAAGGAAAGAGCAAAGAGCCCTGTTAAAGAGGGCACGCCCAATCATGCATGGCTGGCAGGGTTATAAATCGTCTAAGTCACTTCATTTGAACTGGTCATTCTTACTTAATAAAGCTGGATATATGCAGAGCCTATGACACAGTCCTACAGCCTGGCTGTGCACCTAAAGCTTATGCACATGAACACCAAGAGACGTGCACAAAAAATTCTCACCAGCCAAAACTTGAGCACTAGAAGCCAACACGGAACACACTCCCAGGCATAGGTTTTATACACCTGTCTTAATAAATTAATTGATCGACTGAAGAAAGCTGAGTCCCAAGACTCTTAAACCTAATCTAAAGCAAAGACATCAATTAGGAAACCCATTGCTGTCAATCCAACAGACTACCCTTTTTTGGGGCGGGGGGGGGGGGGGGCGGTAGTTTTAGGAATCAGTGCCTCCCACAGGCCAGACAAGCCTTTTAGGACTGAGCTATACTTCCAGACCAGACGGAAATTATTATTATTTTTCAAATTGCTTCTATCAGACAAGAAGGTAAAATTTCAACAATGATCCAAGATCATATCTCGCTATGATGAAATCAGAAATTAAGACGAAAGATAACCAGTTTGTGTCTCTCTTCTTGGACATGGACATGGTGGGCCATCCAAATCATGGGCTAGAAAGGAGACTACAAACTCCCTTAGCATCCACTTAGAGTCTTAGGTGGGAAATACTGGGCAGTGAATACATGAGATTCAGCTAACTTGCAGCTTAAAACCGTCAGCATTTTAAGTGCATATTGGAGAAGAAAAATAGAATTCGAAAACCAGTAATTTAAGTATGTGGCTCAAAAAGAGAAAAAACTAAAATAACAGAATATGAGAAAATAGGGACCAGGCTTGTGTGACGGAAGAGCAGGTAAGAACATTTGCTACCAAGCTTGATGACCCGAGTTCAATCCCCCAAACCAACACTGTAGGAGGAGAGAACTGACTCCCTCCAGCTGCCTATGACCTCCTATGTCAAAATAATAAATGTAAAATTAAGTTTCAAGATGGTAAGAACATAAATTAACACAACTGAAAACAAAGTAACAGTTTTTCATAGAGAAGGCATAAACAATACCAAGAACAGGAAGACAACAACAAACAGATACACCCGATTTATTTCCGGCCAGCGAGGATGTGGCCCAGTGGTAGAGCCAGGAGTTTGGTATATGTAAGGTCTACAGTTCAATCCTTAGCTCCCAACAGGAAAACAATTTAAATCCTATGAGAAATTCTTTGTAATAGGACTGAAAACTACAGCTTTTCACTTGTTTGATTTTTGAAGGTCAGTATAATCTGAACAAAGTTCATAGAAACTATTGCAAAATTCAATGTGGAGAGAATATGACAACCACCTGGGGTAGCTCCGGGGTCGTGCAAATCAAAGTAGCATGACAGCTGGAAACCAAGTCACTCTGAGTCAAGGTGAGCCCCTGCCATTCTGTCGCCAGCTGGTGCTGCGTAGGTTCTGTTCGAAAGCTGTACAAAGAACTATGTAATGTGGCTTTGTATGTAACAATTGCTCCAGCCTACCTTATAAGAATCACTCACAGAGCCAGGCGGTGGTGGCGCATGCCTTTAATCCCAGCACTGGGGAGGCAGAGCCAGGAGGATCTCTGTGAGTTCGAGGCCAGCCTGGTCTACAGAGCGAGATCCAGGACAGGCACCAAAACTACACAGAGAAACCCTGTCTTGAGAAACAAACAAACAAACAAACAAACAAAAAATCACTAAGAGAAAAATGAGTCAAGAAAGAAAGCTTGAAGAAGACATTGAATCAGTAACTTTTATTCTATCCCTCAAAATAAATAAAACTGGAGCACCAGCGCCGAGCCGTATGACTGGCCAGCACCATCACTGAGCTGTATGACTGACCACCATCAGCACTGACCACATGACTGGCCACTATCAGCACTGACCATATGACTGGCCACCATCAGCACTGACCATGTAACTGGTCACCATCAGCACTGACCACATGACTGGCCACTATCAGCACTGACCATGTGACTGGCCACCATCAGCACTGACCATGTAACTGGTCACCATCAGCACTGACCACATGACTGGCCACTATCAGCACTGACCATGTGACTGGTCACCATTAGCACTGACCATGTAACTGGCCACCATCAGCACTGATCACATGACTGGCCACTATCAGCACTGACCATGTGACTGGTCACCATTAGCACTGACCATGTAACTGGCCACCATCAGCACTGACCACATGACTGGCCAACACCATCACTGAGCTGTATGACTGGCCACCATCGGCACTGACTGTATGGCTGGTCACCATCAGCACTGGCCATATGACTAGCCAGCTGTACAAGTCTTTAAGATGCATTTACTCCACATAAACACTACAAAAAAAGAAAAAGAAATTATTCCTCGCCAAGAGAACAAAGCTGAAAAAACACAGAAATCAAATCAGACAAATACATGGGAATATCTTCCTAAGAGGCATGCAAAATTTTAAATAAGATATCAGAAAGCCCAATTTTGTAGTCTTAACAATACTGCCAAGTGCAATTTATCCAGGCAGCATAAAACAGTATTGAGTCGCATAAAACAGTATTGTGCCAGAAAATCTATTAGTGCGATTGCATAATTCACCACACTGCCAGAATGGGGAGAAATAGAGCCTTATGGTCTCAGCAGGATGCAGAGCATGCTGTAACATCCAGCACTCATTCGCAACACACACTCTGCAAACTGGAAGCAGAGGCAGCTTCTCCCACTTAATCAAGAAAGGCTATGTACAAAGCACACAGCACACACTACATTTGGTGGTGGTTCCTTAGAAACAGTCCCTCCATGCCAAGTGGTGGCAGCAAGTGCCTTTAATTCTAGCATTCAGGAAGCAGAGGCAGATGGATCTCTGAGAGATCAAGACCAGCCTTGTCTACAAAGTAAGTTCTGGGGCAGCCAGGGCTACACAGAGAAACTGTATCTCAAACAAGACAAAACAAAATAACCAACCAACCAAATAAACAAATGACCACCAACACCAAAAACAGTCCCTCTAAACTATGGCCCGGGGTAAGTACATCTGCTACCACTGCCTCTACCCAGCACAGTATTGAAGCTCATGGTGTAGAAAAGAGAGAGAAAAGCCGGGCAGAAGGACAGGAAAAGAAGACACAAGGGCTGCAAAGGTGGTCTGGCACGCCTGTAAGAGGAACCAGGGCTGCTGGCTACTAGAAACCGCAGCCACAGACCTATACACAGCAGAGCTGGCCAATGAACACGCAAGCCAGTTAAGCAGCAAAATTTCACACCACAAGTCTAGTTACATAAAATAAAACGTTACTGAAAGTCAGTTTACAGGAAGAGAAAGGTGCATCCCTGTGTAACCGGAATTCAAATCATACACGTAGGAATTCTTCCAGTTCTGACGATATTCATTCATTGTAACCTTACTTGAACTTCTGGTGGGTTTGTGTGGGGTAGATAATCCAACAGTGGCTTTCAGATTACGGAGGAAGGTCAAAGGGCAACTGAAGAGCTCCAAGGCACCCTGGGAAGCATTTGCCCTGCCAGACTTCAGGATTTGTTAAAGGGTAGCGTGGTAGCTTCAATGTAACTGGCTCATAGGAAGTGGTACTATTGGGAGGTGTGGCCTTGTTAAAGTAGGTGTGGCCTTGTTAAAGTAGGTGTGGCCTTGTTAAAGTAGGTGTGGCCTTGTTGAAGGAAGTATGTTACTGTGGGGATGGGTTTTGAAGTCTCTTTTGCTGAAGCTTCGCTCAGTGTCACTGCCACTTCCTGTGGCCTTCTGATCAAGATGTAGCCAGCACCATGTCTGTCTGCATACCGCCATGCTGCCTGCCACGGTGATAATGGACTGAACCTCTGAAACTGTAAGCCAGCCCCAATTAAATGTTTTCCTTTATAAGAGCTGCCATGGTCATGATGTCTCCTCACAGCAATAGAAACCCTATTAAGACAACATGGCTTCTACACAAGAATAAACAGATCCATACCTATATAGAAATTAACATTTGACAGATAAGGTATACATGTCAGCATGAAACACTCCATAAAATGCCAAAATAACTGGTCATACAAACAGAAAACAGTGCAGCAGAGGTAGCAGCACACATGTGATCCTAATACTAGGGAGGTAGAGGCAAGAATATCAGTGGTTCAAGGTCATCTTTGGCTACCTACTGAGTTCAAGGCTAGCCTGGGCTACATGAAACCTTGTTCTGAAACCTATGCCTTCCCCAAAAGAAGCAAGATGTGGAAAGTGAAAAGATGAACCATCGAGAAGGAGAAAGTATTTGTAATTCATAGTTTTATCAACAGACCCCTAAGAATGCAAGAATGTAAACCAACACAGTCCACCTCTCTAAATGATCGCATTGTTTTAGGACCTCTATGGAATTTGTTCTTTGACATGTTCATGCACGTATAAAGTGCATTCTGATTACTGTAATGCTCCCACCCATCAAGTCTTCCCCTGCCTATTACCGACTCCTCCCCACAAGCCCACTTCCCAGGTCTCCCTGGTTTTTCTTTGGTTGGATGGTTGGAACTCTCCCCTGGAGCCTGGTGGGCTCCTCAGTGAGCATACAACTGAAGACAAGGACTGTCCCTCTCCCAGAGTCCACCAGGAGCCAATTATCCAGCAGGGAGGGGTCACAAGCCCCGCCCCAATCCACGACTGACTGTCAACAGGGCCAGTCCTGTGAAGGCCCCTGACAGGCAGCCATAGCTGCTGTGAGGTCAGTTGCTTGGCTCTGCCAGGCCTAGAATCCAGCACTTGACAGCCCTTGTCTCTGTCTCCCAGCTCTTACATTCTCTCTGCACCCTCTTCCGGGATGATCCCTGAGCCCTGATGGCGTAAGTGCCGTGTTTGGGGTTGGGCACTCAGCTGTCACTGACTCTCAGTATCCTGAGCAGCTGTGAATCTCTTTATTCACCACATTGCACTGCAAAGAAAAACTTCTCTGACTGGAAGTAGCATCTGCCTATGGGTATAAACATAAAGATTTAAATGGAAGCTTGGCACCTTGACAATTTAGTAAGTATCAAGTTTGCCCTGGGGCCTAAGACCGCCTCAGCCCTGTGTTTTGGTATGGCTGGGGAAGTCTTGGGCCCTTTCACAGTATTTTAATTTTTTTTTGTTGTTGTTGTTCTTGTCTTCATGGCAGGGTTTCTCTGTGCAGCCCTGAAACTTGCTCTGAAGACCAGGCTGGCCTCAGAGTCACAGGTCCATCTGTCTCTGCCTCCTGAGTGCTGGGATTAAAGGTGTGAGCCACCACCACCTGTCCCTCCAACAGTATTTTTTTAAAGCATAAAAACTTTTCATTTTTTATTCCCATCTTGAAAAGTGAACATCCAGCCTGATAATACACGTTCCCTTACTGTCAGCACAAGTCCAAAATTGAGTTCAGTAGTTTTAGGACCATGGAAAACAATTTGAAAACTGGTCACTGTAACTATTTTAGTAAATTATGATTATACAGATTTATAAAGATAGTAAAATATACACTTGAAATAACTGACAATTAAAATGTTAAAATGAAAAAGGAACAAATACAGAAAAAACAAGGCATTAATAATCCCTCATATATGCACACATGTGTGTGTACACGCACACACCCTTGTTAGTATTTTGGAGTTTTTCTGGACTTTGCTTCTGGTGATAAATACATAGATAAATATACACACAAGTGGGTGGGAGGAGAAAACGGCCTGTTCAAGCGATGGGCATCTGTCAGCCACTAGAAGACGCAAGCTAACGCTCAGTGATGAGGTTAGGTCTGGGAATGTTTACTTGGGAAGTCATTCTTAGAACAAAAGAGTTAAGACTCAAGAGAGCATAGAAGGAAAAAAAAGAAGAGTGAGGACTAGAGGTGAGGCTGAGAACCATATTAAGATGTTAGAAACAAAGAGAAAGTGTTATTATCATAGAGGCCGGAGAAAAATCCCAAGAAGAGGGTACTACTCAAGGGTAAGTCCTATAAAGAAGTTAGGGAGAATGAGGTGGAAGGCAAGGGTGACACAAGGCCACGGCACAGCGTGACACACCTGGGATGCGTTGGGGACAGGAAGTTCAAAAGTGCAAGGACAACCTGAACTTACCAGCCTTCTTTCCAACAGCAAAAAGGCCAGCACATTAGCCATGAGGAAGATGTCGGGTTCCAGGGCTGGGGCATTGGCTCAGCTGGTAAGGAGCTTGCTGCGCAGGCTTGAAGACTTGAGTTTGGATTGCCATCAGCCACGCAGAAGTCAAGAGTGGCGGCTTGTGCCCGAAATGCTACTACTGCAGTGGGAGGCGGGGGCAGGAGGATTTGTGAGGGCTAAAGTTATGTTTTACGTTTAAATGACTGTGCTTAGGAGACCTATGAAACAAACATGCCTCTAACCTGTCAGCCCCACTTGCCCAAGGGCAGATAACTTCCTGGAATGCTGGGGGCTGTTGTTCATGGAAGAAAACTTAGCCATGTGTTTTCACTTCTGTAAACAAGGTTGGTTGCCCCAACTGCATAGGACATGCTTGATCCCACATAGGCAGGAAGTGCATCAGGGTGTATGCTTGCCTCCCCCCCCTCCCCCCCGTCCCCATTTGATAAAGATAAGAAATACATAGCCCTGGGTTTTGCCTTTATAAGCACCTGACTAATGTAATTCCTGGCCATTCCTGGAAATCCCAGGTACGGACCTGGCCAGTATTTAATAAAGCTTGCTTCAAATTTGGCTGAAAAATTGTGTAGCGGTCTTATTCTCACCTGGTAGGGTCAACAGATTCCTGGGATTAGCCGGCCAACCCTGCCCAACCACGGAAGAAAGACGACAAATCACACTGAGGAATTTTTAAAGAGAGTGAGGTTCAGTCAGCCAGAGAACAGTATAAATCCTGGGAAGACTGAAGACGCTGGGCAGGGAGGGTGGGCGAAAGGAAACACACTAGTTAGGGAAAGGACCTGAGGTCCCAACACAGACATGTCAAGGCGGCAGGGACAGGACTTCCCCAGGGCTGTGGGTAAACAGTAACCTACATTCTAAGGCATGTCAAAATTCACCTTAAATCAGTTAACATCCCCACTTAGCAGTATCCAAAGGCTTTCTAGAAAGAGTAAAATCACTCTCTGTCTGTGCTTCTCCTGCGGTGACCAAGGCTAGTGCCAGTGACTTCCTGGAGACTGATGCTCCAGTCCAATTTAAAATTCGTTAACCATGACATAAGGGTCTGACAAGGCCTTGTTTTCTCAAAATCAAAATATTAATTTATCCTAAAATATCTGATTTTGGGTCCCACAAGTGTCCATTCCCAGCACAGGGTGGGTAAATGCTGTCACCTGCAACAGTGTCTTTGACTGCAAGGTCACGGGCATCACTGCCAGCCTCAGACACAGAATTAAACGCAAAACAAGTCAAGATGAAATGACCCAACCCAGGTCTCTCCACACGTCTTACTAAACAAGGCCTAAGGGGAGTCAGTGCTTTATGTAACATGCTGAGGTTGCTCCTCTGGGACAGAGAGGCAAGGCTGGCCTCTCCCTGTTCCTCCCACGGTCCACATCCAAACCAGACATTCCCTCTGTCCCATCAAGAGTCAGCCCCACCTTCCGTGACACCAAACCAAAACACTCATAGCAACACCCTTCTGTCACCAACTCAACCAACTGGGGAGACAAGAGGGATGTCTAGCTGTAATTACTCCCCCAAAAGGATCTAAAATGTATGAGTAACAGTAATAAAAAAGGACTCCTACCTTCTAAGCATATGCGTAACTGAAGCACATTACTGAAATATTTGCAACCTCCAAAGTGGTTTTCAACTTCAAATACAAACATGGATTGCAGGCAAAAGCTAATTACGGACTTGGTTATTAGTAGGGTGTGAAAAGACGACGGGATGGGAGCAAGGAATGCTTGCAAAGGTTTTCATTTGACAGTGGATTTCAAAATATCCAACACATTTAATTTCTGAAATAGCTGTGAACTTCCTGTACATTAAGATAAATTAGGGCATTAAGTGCAGAAGTCTTTGAGGTACTAGTAAGGCAGTGCCTTTGGAGGGGAACCGGCCTCATTTCCTCTCTTGCAGGTATCCAGAGCACGACGGTCAGAAGTGAGGTCACCGAACGATCCCTTCACGGGCATCCCTCCACATTCCACAGATGTTTCTGCTCTTTGCTCTGTTTTGACACCCACCAGCAGTACTTGTACATGCCTTAGGCCACTTTAGCATTTAACTCTCTAATCGCTTCCCACTGCCTCCTCCACAAATCATCTTGTTTCCCTCCCAAAGGGTCTTTATCCTCAAGTTCCTCCTGATACTCTAAATTTGCCTTCTTTATGTTTACTTTGTAGACATTTAACTCAAGTTATCACTAGAGACTCTGCATCTATCTAGTTTCTCTGTCCCTCCTCTGTTTCAGGGATCAGTCATGACATCCTAAGTCCTTGTAATTAGCAGGCAAAAAAAGGAAGGAAGGAAGGAAGGAAGGAGGGAGGGAGGGAGGGAGGGAGGGAGGGAGGAAGGAAGGAAGAAATGGAGGGAAAGAAAAGAAGGAAGGGCCGGGTGGTGATGCATGCCTTTAACCCCAGCACTCAGGAGGCAGAGCCAAGCAGATCTCTGTGAGTTCAAGGCCAGCCTGGAGGAAATCCAGGACAGGCACCAAAACTACACAGAGAAACCCTGTCTCAAAATACCCCCCCCCAAAAAAAAAAGAGAGAGAGAGAAAGAAAGGAAGGAGGGAGGGAGGGAGGAAAGGAAGAAAGGAAAGACAGAAAAAGAAAAAACCAAACCAAACCATAAAAATCTTTTGCATCCCCCCTTGACTAGTGAACCTCTAGAGCTGTGCTGAAGATACTGAGGTGAATGCCAACGCCTACCGAACCATCCATGGCCACTCCAAAGGACTCCCAAAACCGTGGCTGTACCATCCGTTCAGTAACCTTGACCTATTCCTCTCCGCACAGCTGGTCTTCTAGCCCCTTCTCATATTGTACACAGGGCCCACACCGCTGTGGTCCCCTCCGGTTCGTTCACCTGTCTGGTCCTACCTGGGGGCCATGCTTCACCCTGTCATCTAGAACCTCAGCTCACCCTGTCATCTAGAACCTCAGCTCACCCTGTCATCTAGAACCTCAGCTCACCCTGTCATCTAGAACCTCAGCTCACTGCTCCCCTTGTCTTTTACTACACACCTCTTCAAAACCTGTTGAGCCAGCACCCCACTGCCGACCCAGATGAAGGGCTTCACAGGATCACCCCTGTCCCCTCACAACCGTCCCTGGCAGTTCCCAGGCAGGGCGCCCTTCTTTGATCCCTCGGCAGCAATCTTACTTTTAGAGCCTCCCACTCCCCTTTTCTAGCAGCACCCCACTGAGAAAGTGAAGCCACCTCCCCAGCCTCCACAAACTCACTCCTCTCAGGGGATCCTCCACTCCTCTCTTCTGGAGACTCATAGTCTCCCCATCTCTCCTTACCCAGAAGCACCTGAGTTTTCCATCCACGAATATCAAATAGTATTTTTGAAAGATCAAAAAAAATCAAGTCATTTGAAAGTCCAGTATGTATGTATATAAATATATGTATGTATTTTTCCCCTCCAGATTGAAATAATAAACATTCATCAACTTAACTAAACAAAACTAGAAAAGCTGGACAGTTTACTGGTAGCAGAGAAGGCTTCAAAGAAGAATAGTGCTTCACCCCAAAGACTACAACGGGGTCACTGACATCTATTACTGACCCCCATTACCACAGTTCTTGGTGTATTATCCACCTTTAGACAAGCCCAGGGTCGATTAGATCCACACTTGCCCACCCCTGTGGGCAATACAAATGGGCAAAGGCACACTGCTTTTTACATCTACGTTAAAAGTCCACCTGTCAGAATTCACATAGAGCTGAGATGGGTGAGAAACAGGAGCAACAAAACAGAGTATCTTTGGCTACGTTGTTTCAGCAAGCCGCAGGTCCACACAGGCTGGAGAGCGCTGCCCCCCTGTGGTTGACTGAAAGGCCACCACAGCGGGCCAGCCTGCCCTTGGGGCGCTGTCTACAATGACCACATGAAAGGCCTGCTGAAAGTCTGAGGATTAGGCTGGGTGGCAGAAGCATCTTTTCCAGGCTCACTGTCCACACAACCTGGATATCTGCTGGAGTGTGGCTACACCAGCTCCTCTACAATCCCTTATGGAAGGCTCTCCATAGCTCGGCAGTAAGAACTGGAGTCGTCAAGTTCTTAGCCCATACTGAGGACCAGTTCAATGGTGTCTTTCCTTCCACAATTCCATCACGCTGGTGCTGCTTCACGGCATGAGAGCGTTCCGTTTATTAAAGGTGGAATATGACTGTCCTTGGTACTAACAGCCTAAGAGGCATCTGAGCACTTGGGGTCTCCGATGGTTCTCTCTGCATTAAATCCACTCTGTAGTCTGGAGTCTCCCCATCACTTGTTTTTTTTTTTGTTTGTTTTTTGTTTTTTGTTTTTTTTTTTTGGGGGGGTGCTTGTCTCCTCTGGAATGTTTGCAAACTCTCTGGTTCCTAATGCAAAGCCCTTCTTCACTCTACTCCAGAGAGCCTATAGACACCACCCTGTTCCTGCCAGTGGCCATTTCCAAAGCTCGGACTCAGTTCCCATCGGGCCCCACAACTGGCCCTCAGCACACTACAGCTGAAAGCTAGTGAGTCACACTTGAAGGCGAGAAAAATGCCATCCTGGCTGAGTGCTGTGGCCTGATGTCTGCTCCACGCACTTCATATGTTGAAATCCGACCCCCAAAGTGATGGTGGCAGGTGGCCTCAGAAGGTGGGGTCTTTGGAGGTGACCAGGTCATGAGAGTGGAGGCCTCGTGAATGGGGGATCGGTGCCCTGAGAAAGAGGCTTAAGGAAGCTCGTTTGCTTCTTCTGCCACTTGAGGATACAGTGAGATGCCCGTGAGCCTTCCGGAGGTGTAGCTCAGGGGTAGAGCACTTGCCCAGCATGCACATTTTGTTGCAGTAGCCTGAAGATGCAGACGCTGCACATTCAGACGTCAGCCTTTGGGACACACAGCTGCTGCCCAGGCCTGCTGGTGACTCTAAAGCTGGGACGTCAAGGCAAACAGGCAGAAAGACCGCCAGGAAGACTGAGGCTGACGGAAGTACCCAATAAGGCCCTGAGGAATCAGCCTTCCTGTCACCTGTGAAGTCATACCTAGCGTGAACTTAACATTTACTCCCCGCTTGCTTGAGGAAAGAAAATGATTCTGTTAGTTTGTTTTCTCAGGCCCACCCTAAGCTTATAGAAAGAGCTGGGGCTTCACGGCTTCGCGTGACCCTCACTCCCCAACCCCACGCCTCTCCCCTAGGCAGAGTCAGACTCCACAAAAGGCCAGCTGCACAAAATATGGGACTTCTCCCCACTCCTCCCAAAAAACTATGCTTAAATCCAAGCAAGGTGACGCACCCTTGTAATCCTAAGTACTCAGGAAGGTGAGGCAGGAGGATGGTGAATTTGAGGCCAGCCTGAACCAGAGAAATTATCTTAGTCACTTTTCCATTGCTGTAATAAAACACACCTAGGCAACTTATTGCAGGAAATGTTTAATTCGTGCTCACAGTTCAAGAGGGTGAGTCCATGGCCATCATGACTGGGAGCATGGCAACAGGCAGGCAGGCATGGCACTGGAGCAGCAGCTGAGAGCTTACACCCTTATTCACAAGTAGGAGGCAGAGAGAGCTAACTGGGAATGGTGTGGGCTTTTGAAACCTCAGAGCCCACCCCCAGTAACACACTTCCTCCAACAAGGCCATGCCTCCTAAGCCTTCCCAACCAATTCCACTGAGGACCAAGTATTCAAATATATGTGCCTATGGGGACATTTTCATAAAAACCACCACAGAGATGTTGACATAAAAAAAAAATAGAGGCTTGGAATGTGGCTCAATGTGACAGCATTTGCTTAGCCTGTGCAGGGCCCTGGGTTCAGCCCCCAGCACCCCAAACAAATACTCATGTTTAGAGACAGAAAACAACATATCCTAAAACTTCCATGTTTCTCTATCATTCTAGAAGTCACATAGAGTTCAACTGTTCTGGTTACATTAGTGGGATAAAATATGTTTCAAAGACAAATGCAACCGTATACTTTTTGTATGTACTCAAAGTTCTGTGTGTGTGTGTGTGTGTGTGTGTGTGTGTGTGTGTGTGTGTCTGTGCACATGCACATGTGTGTAAACTGCAGTACTACATCATTTGTTATGCTTCTTAGGGTTTGGTCTGTTCAATAATAAATATGTAAATCAAGTGACCCCGCTCACCGAGTAGGAAATAATAGAAAAAAAATCGAATAGCCAAACAGCTCCATATTACAAAACAAAGAATTTCCGTAAGTTAACTCATTCAATAACACACAGCTATCCTTCTCATTTCTGTATTTTTAACCTCTTCTGGCCTAGCTGCCACCTCAGCCAGCCCCACCAGTCACCTCCAGATGTCCCCATACTCTCCAGCCACACCAGGAGGCTGTGTGCCACCAGAGCGGCATCAGGTCCAGGTCTCAGAAATGTAAGACTGCCAGAAATATATGGCCTCAGTCTGCAGATTCTGAAGCAGTGTCAGCTCTGTTCTGAGACTAGAGGAAAAATTATAAGATATCTCCTCTAAGAGGAAAAAAAAACCTTAAGTCAAACTCTCCTCTGCCTCCCCACATGACCTTCTCTGATGCCTGCTGCTCCCACGATGCCTCTGTCCTGTTCCATTCTGAGGACAAGGTCTCTGTGGATCACTTGCTCCCTCCCAGAACCCCCCACCCCCAGCTTCTTCCTGCTCCCACCATGTGTACCTTCTGCTTCCGGTCTGTATGTAGCCCTCACACTAGCCTTCTAAGTTCACAAAAACTCCCTCAGCAGCAGAAGGTCTGCCTCCTTCTCCTGCCCACAGAACAGAAAAAGCAGAGCTACTGTGGCTGGAGGGGAAGATGGGGCTCAAAGGATGCTGCCTGCATCCTTCTCATCATCCACCCAGCCTGGGGCATCTTTCTAGAGCTTCCCAGCGGAGTACCCAAGGCAATGCTTCCACCTGTCCTTGGTGCCAGCTTCCTTCCCTTCTCTGTTCCCTCGGCCTGAGAAACACCTTTGCATTTTTGTCCCAACAAAGTCACACATGAGCTTCCAGTTCTGTTCAGAGGCTGCCTTCTTTGTGATGTTTTCCACACTGAGCAGCTCTGAGTGTCTGGGTTTCTCCTGAGGTACCACTTCCAGTTGGTATGCTCAACATCCGCTCTACTTGATGGTGGCCAATCGAAAGGCAGGCAAATGGTGATGAGGAGGGATGTGTGTGTGAGATGTGGGATGGGAGCCCTGGCTCAACTAAAATAGGGGATGCTTGCATGTATTATGGCTATGAGGCAGGTACCTTGATCTACACACAGGAGCTGGAGCAGGCAAGCTGACTAGAGAAAGGGAGAAGGAAACATGGCAGCTGGTCTCCAGCACAGACAAGAAAACCAAATCAGAGCCCTAGAAGGGAACAGGGTCTGTCAGAATCTAGTGTGTTCATCTGCTTGCTGCCACTGTGATGAAATAATTTAATAACGGAAAAGATGCATGGCGGCTCATGGTTTCAGTCTACAGTTGCTCTGGGTCTGTGGCAGTCCAATGCACCACAGCAGAGTGATTGGGGAAGCAAGCCTGCTTCCATCGAGGTGGTTAAAAGTACACAGCTAAGCAGAAAGGGACCTAGGGCAAAATAACACTTCAAGGTCATACTCCCCAAAGTCTAACTTTCTCTCTCTAGGTCCCAGCTCTTAAAGGTTCCACCCCATTCTAAGAGTGCCACAGGCTTCCGACCAAGCTTTTTTTTTTTTTTTTTTGAGGGGGGGCATTCATGATTCAAAGGACAGCAGCATCCAGGAACTGCTTCCTCGAGAGGCTCATGCAGTACAAGGTAAGGTGGACTAGCGGAGACCTAACTGTCCCCTCTTTGAGGCCACACTTCCTCTACTCATTTCATTAGGAACTAATTCCTCAGCAGGCCCATGTTTTGTAATCGATTCCGATGAATCAAATTCATCCTAAGCTCAGAATCAATAGACTCCCCGCTAGCAGCTGCTTTTGAAAAGGAATTCGAAGCAGGTA